TGCCTCCAGTGCCTTTACTTGGCACAATAATCCAGACCCTTCGCTAGGCGTAGGTTAAAAACGTGCCAGCCTCAATGGCTGGTTACAGTGAGAGTGAGATAACACCTTTGGTACAAATGCAGTGTTTGGCCACAAGGCAACACCAGAGCCCTCAGGGCCCCACCTGATTCACGAAGGGCTGACTGAGAGAGCATGGAGCTCACTGACCCTCTTTGCTGAGGCAATAGCCAACAAAAAATCCGTCTTACATGAAAGCTTCTTGAGGTCCGTTTGCGTCAGAGGCTCAAATGGAGGGCGGCACAGAGCTTCGAGAACCAAGGACGGATCCCAACCTGGTGCTCATGGAGCCATCGACTGGTGCAACCTACGGGCACCATGCAGAAGAAGGGAGACTAAATTATGGCTCCCTACCGTACAGCCATCAATGCCTGCATGATTAGATGATATTGCCACTACATAAACTTTAAGCGTCGAAGTAGAGCGACCCTTACCTAGGAGAGACTGGAGAAACTCTAGAATGGTGGGTACTGTACAGGAGACTGGATCCTCATTGTGATCAGAACACCATTGAGAAAACAGACTCCACCTGTTTTCATCCTGCTGATAAGTAGAGGGTGCCCTGGCGCTCAGGATAGTGCGTCTGATGGGGCTGAAAACTCTGAAAAAAATCTGTGACCTGATTGTGTCGCACTGGTAAGTATGCCGCCCGCAGGGTGGACAGGCGATGAGAGGCCCATTCCATAAGCTCTCTGGATGCTCTCAGAAGTTGGGCTGACCTGGTGCCCCCCTGGTAGTTGATGTGATAGACCACAGAGGTGTTGTCTGACCGAACAAGAACATGCCCCCCTTCCAGGTTGAGCAGGAAGTACCTGAGTGCCAAATGCACTGCACGCAACTCTAGCACATTTATATGCGTGGAGCAGTCCTTTTGACCCCAGTGGCTCTGAACCGCTCTGCGTTACCACACAATGCCCCATCCCATAGAGCTGGCATCTGCGTGACCACTTCCCTGCGACACACTACCATTCCCATGGGGACACCCCTGGACAAATAATCTTCGTCCCTCCATGGAGTCAGGGCATAAAGACATGACCACGTCACTGCGAGCTTGTTATGCCTGTGCAGCCTGGCATCCAGACAAAAGCTTTTGAGCCACCTCTGCAATGAGCAAAGTGACAACAGGCCTAAGGGCACCACCCGAGTGACTGACAGTATGCCACCCACCCTTTGAGCGAATGGGCGAGCTATCATGGAGGTTGAATCCAGAACCACCCCAAGAAAGGTGATCGTCTGGGATGGGCGAGCTATCGTGGAAGGTGAACCAGAACCACCCCAAGAAAGGTGATCGTCTGGGAAGGGCTCAGGCAGATCTTCTCCAGTTTGACATTGAGGCCCAACTGGGACACATGAGCGAGCAGGCGGTTTGTGTTACAAAAGGCACAGGCCCAAGACGGGGCGCAGAAAAGCCAATCGTCTAAGTACGGCAGAACCTTCACTCCATAGGCCTGCAGAGTAGAGAGGGCTTCCTTCACGCACCGAGTGAACACCCTCGGGGAGAGAGAGCCCGAATGGGAGTACCCGGAACTGCCATTGGCGACCCTGATAGGCAAACCTGAGAAAGCGGCGATGTTTTGCCGCAATAGGCACATGAAAATATGCATCCTTTAGGTCTACAGACGTGAACCATTCATCCCTCATGACAGCTTGAAGGACTTCTGCTGTCGTGAGCATGTGGAAGGGCAGCTCCCTTAGGTACTGGTTGAGTCCCTTCAGATCTAAAATGGGACAAAACCCGCCCGTCCTCTTTTGCACGAGGAAGTAAGTCGATTAATAGCCTCTGGGTTGTTGCAGAGGGTCCACTGCCTCAATTGTACCCTTGGCCAGGAGGGAGGAAAGCTCCTGGTTTAGTGCTTGAGCTTTCACCGGGTCTGCGATTACAGTCATCTTGACCCGGCGTGAGATGTGAGGCCGCCGTCAAAACTGTAGCTGGTAACCACGGGTGAGACTGGCAACCAACCATGGGTCCACAGTGTGAGCAGCTCAGTAACTGAGCTGCTGGTAAGAGAAATATCAGACGGTCGGCTTGGTGGCATCACAATCTCCCACGACGGCCCCTAGGGGCTGGGGGGGGGGGGCTGCGGCCTGAGTCCCTGGTCCGAACCTGCCCATCTGGTTGGTGAACCGACTCACGAAAGCTATTGTTGGGTCTCTGCTGAATTGCACAAAGGTAAAGACCACCCGGCCGATTATGACCCTAAGCCGAATGCTGGGGTCAGCCGACGGGCGTCTTGGATGCCGAGGAGGTAGAGGGGGCATTGCCCTGCTATGGTTCGAAAGCTGCTGCCTTGTCTGTCTTGCCTGGACGGTCCGTTCCAGGGTTTCCAAGGCAGCCGAACCGAACAACTCCCCCGACACCACTGGGACATTACGGAGGGTTGTACGACATGGCTCGGTCAGTGTTGACTGCGCCACCCAAACCTGTTGGCGAGTCTGGACCAAGAAGGATATCACGCGCCCAAGTTCCCTCGTCATCCGTGCAAAGGCCTGAAGCGCTACATCGCTAAAGACCATTGTTGCTGTCGCACCACTAGTCCCCTGAAGGGACGTAAAGAGGGCAAGCATGAGGTGCGCCATGGAATGGCCGAGGTAGCCAGCACATGCTCCGGCGTAATAAGCTCTCCAGAGGAATTCATCCGTGACGCGACACTGAGCTCGTGGGCACCGAACATCACTGCACAGAATCTCCTCTTGTGATACAATGAGCAAGGCAACAGCAGGTTCAATCGTCGACATGCGATCCAAGCCAGCTGCAGCTGGCTCATGCATAGCCGCCAACATTCGGCCATCCGTGGAGAGGTGCGCAAAGGCTTTTGGGTCCGGCCAGCAACCATGCAACTCCCTCAGGTACTCCTCCGATGGAAGGATGGAAAAGGAAGGAGGGGCCGTCGGCTCCTGCAGAAGGCACTTCCCGGGGTGGACTCCTGATTGCGGGACGTCTAGCTGCAGTTGTCTCAGGGCCATACACATGACGTCCTGCATCAAGCCATCACCTGACCCCCTAGTTGCGCTCCGAGACGAAGAAAGTGAACCAGTCTCTGAGACTTGAGATGACTGCCCCTCCTCCTCACCTAAAAAGTGAGAGGCAGAGGCAGCCAAGGATAACACATCCTCCTCCACAGCCAGCTCAGGCATGGGTGAGAAGAGAGTCCAGTCGCTGCCACCTGCTCAGCCCCCAGTTGGCGTGCCTGAAATAGGGACTTAATCTCTGCCGATTCTGCGGACAGCTGCTCCACCCTCGTGAAGAGGCCCTGATCAGATTTGGCTTGTCTTTTCCTAGGAGGGGCCACAAAGACTGCAGCCTCAGACCGGCGCTTCGAGCGCCTAAGTGGAGCCTCCTGCCTAGAAAGCGGGAGGTCACTGCTGAGCTCTGGGCAAAACTGGGCCAGCCGAGCCACCCTCACAGCACGAGGCATAAAGCTGCAGTTCATGCAGGGGTTCTCTGATGGGGCCTCCACCAGATGGTCATGTCCAAGGCAGGTAGGACACAGGTTCTGATGGTCATCTGCCTGGAGCATGGCCTCACATTCTGTGCAGCAATGAGAGCCATCCATGCTCCTTACTTTAGGCAGTTTACTCAAGTAAAACCTGCAACTCAGCAAACGGGCTGGCACCACCAGATACGTCCAGAATACAGGGGGGAAAAAAGGACAAAAGTATAGGCCGAGAATTGGGAGAGGGGCCGCACACACTTGCCGTCACCAATTAACAAGGTAAAGAAATTCAGACAGGCTAACGCCGCTAGCTCGGCTGGTAAAAAGAGGACAAGTGGGAGAGGGGGCGCAAACGCTTGCCTTCACCAATTAAGAAAACAAGGCCAGAACGTAGGAAGGCTAGTACCACTAGCTCAGTCCAACCATGTATGAGATTGGTGAAAATGATTGGGAGAGGGTGCAGGAACGCTTACCTTCACCAATGAAAATAAGACCAGAGCGTAGAGCGGCTAGTACCACTAGCTCAGTCCAACCGTGTATGAGCTTGGTGAAAATAACTGGGGAGAAGGTGTGTGAACGCTAGCTTTCACCAAAGAAAACAAGGCCAGAAACTCAGCTGGCTACGTAATTAACAAACTTCAGAGCACAGTCCAACCGTCTGAGGTTTGTAAAAATGACTGGGGAGAGGATGCATGAACGCTACCCTTCATCAATGAAAACAAGGCCAGAAACTCAGCTGGCTACGTAATTAAATTTCGGAGCACAGTCCAACCGATCACACGGTTGGAGGTCTCCAGCAAACGGGAGCGGAGCGAACGCTACTGCTAACCAATGGCGAAATATAAGTAAAAACACTACTCACCGGTGTTGAATCACACACAAAGTAGTCAGACACTGTAAGTTGGGAGGGAGGCGGAAACCGCCGTAGACAACAACGGACAGCAGAAATACCTTTTGAACAAAGTTAAACCGTCGCAGCCTCTAGGAAGGCGAACACGCTACTCCCGCCAACGGGCAGTCGGGCCTCCAACGACAGTGAAATGTTCAAAAATCCAAAGGGCTGAAGCCCTGAATTGAACCGCGCGTGAGAAGAAAAAAGGAGCAGAGCTGCGGATGACGTCAGGCTATATAGCCTCTGAATGGTCATCCTTGTCACACCTGTGACTCCATTGATATTACTATTCGAACAGCGCATGCGCGAAGGGAACATTCAGTGCTTTCAGCACTGCCCTCTGGCGGTCGGGAGGGATGAAATGGAACTAACTTGCTTAATGACAATAAGTGTTGGACGTCAGGCCCCTGAGCTGCTGTCTTTCAGTATCTGTGCCTCCCCTGAACAGTACAGATGAATAGCCCTGCTCTAGACCTTGCAGGACTTCATAAACAACAAAACCAAAATAATACCAGCATACAGCTGACATAATAACGTTATCTTTAAGAAAGTGGCCCATGTTTTTGTGGCCTGAAATGTTTCCAGCTACACCAACATATTTCTGTTTTACATGGCAGGTGGAGCAGCACAACATTCAGATGCAGCAGAGCTTTGCTCAGCGGGTGGACGGAGCCTTCAGCAACATGCAGCACTGCGTTCAGCAATATGGAGTCAAACACAACGACATGCTGAGCAAATACTCACAGGCTGTTGGTACGACCAAAACACCACAGAACATGTAGAAACGTTGCACAGAAACATAGAGGATATTGGAGAGCAAATGTGTACATTCAACAGGAACTTCCTTAATTTTTGTTTTGTCTTGTCTGTTTTTAAAATAATTGTGCTTCAGTTCATTCAGTATAAAACTTGTGCTTCATTTTAGCTTGAAAGCAAATGATGTAATGTGTCTAAACTGTTGCCCTCTGTTCCTCTTTGACAAGATGGGTTGATCGTTTTGAACGAGGCGGTGCTGAAAGACTCTCTGACCACCATGGAGTCGTTTGTGGGTGGAGTTGGGTCACTTGTGGCTGAGGGTGTAGCTCGCTGTCAGGAGAAGGTGCAGCAGCACAAAGCTCTGTGTCCACAGAATAAAGAAATTCTTCTTCAGCTGCTGGTGAGACATTCAATGACTTTTATTACTGTAATGTGAAAATCTCATCTCTGGTTTGGTTGATCTCGGCTCATAAATCCAGTTTTCACTTGAGTGATTTTAGTAACAGAGGATTTTGTTTGGTTTAGGAGGAGCATCAGCAGGACATGGAGGAGGTCCTGGCTGTGAAAACTCTGGGGGGTTTATCAGTTGTCAAAGAACTCGGTGACACATTGAAATCTTCTGTGCAGATGCAGCGAGCTCTGGCCCAAAAGGTGAGTCCTGTCATCTGTTGCTCTGATTTGAGTCAACATTTCTACTTGTGTCTGAATCTTCCTGAATGTGGAAACAGTCTCCTGCAGCTGTTTTAAACCTCACTGTGTTCCTGTTTCTCTCAGGTGGAGGAGATGAAGGAGATGGGCATGTCTCTCAGTGGTTTGGCTCAGGAGCTGACTGATCTGCGGGAGGCCAGTGTACAAGGTGTGAGAGCCCTGCAGACCAAACACGACAAGCTGAAAACCCAAATCCTTCAGGCCCAGGAGAGACAGCAGCTGGTAAGATGCCACAAAGAAATTAAGATCCATCTTTACGAATGTGGAGCTGCAATTAAATGTATCCGCGAAAGAAAATCCTATATTTAACAATAAACTATTTTTTTCTCGTACAGAACACTATGACAATAGTATACTATATTAATGTATGATATTATGATACAATACTATGACATTAATACATTAAGTACCTTATTTTCTGCTGTACACGTCGCTTCGCCCTATAAGTCGCATCAGTCCATATTTGTCTAATAAAGTGGAAAAATCCATAAATATGTCGCTTCACCGTATACATCGCATCTATTATGCGTCACCGCTATAGCTGTTTTGACGGTTCCAAGCAGCGAGCAGAATGAAAGTGGGGATACTATGCCAGGCCGATTGTGTCATTAAAAGCTGGTGAAGATTCTCAGTCATCCAGGACATGGTAAATTCAAAAAAGTTCAAGAAAAAAACCACTAAAGTATAAAGTATGATAAAGTCTAGTTGTTTTTGTATTGAACTTTTTTGAATTTGTCAATATAGCCACGTTGACCCATTACGTGATAGAACAGCATGCCATAAAGCTATTACTACTCTGCTGCCATCAAGTGGTTGAAAGTGGTATTGCTCAAATTTTTTTTTCTCAGTCAGAATGAATGAAAACGGTCATATCGCAGCCAAAAAATGGTTTGTAAATATGGGGGGAAAATCCATAAATATGTCTCTTCGGTCTAGAAGTCGAGGGGCATGTAAATTATGCAAAAAAACTGTGACTTATACGCTGGAAAATACTATATTAATCCAGTGATGTAAAGACGGGAGGGGGAAAAAGTTGACAGAAAATGAAAAAGTTTTCTTCGTGAATTTTCTGTAGGATCATCCGCGCTTGGTTGCCAGTGTTTGTAGATACTTGTATTATAGATTATTTTTCTTGTTTTTTTTTTTGTTTTTTTGTTTTTTTTTAACAGAGATACTGCTTTTCACATTTCTTTATTGGATATTTAGTCTTGTTGGTATAATATACACAAACAAGAAATATACACATTTAAAGAGTCATAAGTTCAAACCTTCTGGTTCCCCCTTTGATGTGGTCCCCCCTCGACTACAAAGAGGTTTTTCCTATTCTAGGTCCGTCCATTCTGGCTAAAATAAACAGTAGTTTATCCACTGGCGTGGTGCCAAAAACCTTTAAACATGCTGCTGTCCAGCCTGTCATGAAAATACCAAACCTTGACCCCTCAGTCGTGTCCAAATTCCGGCCTGTCTCCAAACTCCCATTTGTTTCAAAACTACTGGAGAAAATAGTCGAGTCCCAGTTGAAGTGCTTCCTGGAAGGTCACACCATCTTAGAGCTATTCCAATCTGGCTTTAAACCTCTCCATAGCACTGAAACTGCCCTGCTGAAGGTCTTTAATGACATTTTCTTAACCACTGATACCAGTGATTCTGTGCTGCTTGTCCTGTTGGACATCACAGCCGCCTTTGACACCATCGACCATGAGATCCTCATTGCTAGGTTAGAGCAGTGGGTGGGCATCACAGGGTCAGCCCTCAATTGGTTCAGATCTTACCTCGCTGACGGATCCTTTTGTGTCTCCATCAAGGATTTTAGTTCTGCAGCGGCAGAGCTTAAATGGGGGGTTCCGCAGGGGTCCATCCTGGGTCCCCTCCTATTCTCTTTATACCTGCTGCCGCTTGGTACTATTTTCCAGAAACACAACATGCCCTTCCACTTCTACGCCGATGACTGTCAAATTTACTTCCCCCTAAGACACAATGGCACATGCTCTATTCAACCTCTGCTCGACTGCCTGGCTGACGTCAGGGACTGGATGGCTTTAAACTTCTTAAGTTTCAATGAAAAGAAGTCTGATGTCATGTTGTTCTCTCCCAACGACACTTATCACAAACCACTGTATCGACCTCTCTGCTCTTACCCTGTCAGAAAAACAAAGAGTCACTAATCTGGGAGTGATAATGGACCCTTCCCTGAAACTTAACAGTCACGTAAACATGATTGTTAAATCATGTTTCTTCCAACTGAGGCGGCTGTCTAAACTGAAGCCCATATTGTCCAAAAATGACCTGGAGACATTCATTCATTTGTAGATGAACAGATGCTGGGATATATTCATCATTTAACACGAATTCCTCATTTTTCTGGACTGAATAAAACGTGCATTGAATTTAAGGAAATGCAAACGTGAGACGTCATTTATGTTTGACCCATCAAAATGAATGCGGTCATTTATTTACAGAATCAAAATTTAACATCAAACATTTACATTAATTTGGCAAATTATGAAAATAACAACATAAGCAATCAATCAGGAAAAATCATACGGCCATGATTTTTCCGTTGCTTCACCACAGACACTTATGAAAACTGTACAACTATGATCTTTTACCCACATGAATGTGGGTGAGCATTTTACACAGACATTTCTAAAATATCTGGAAGAATTTCTACTTGATAGAAAAGTTTAAAGATGGAAAGAAGTTTAGAGGGAGTAAGATGGTGTGTGAGGGGAGAAATGTTCACCAGAATCGACACTCTCCGGCTTTCTTCAGCTTTTCCTTACAGTACACTTAGGTGATGAAATCGGCTCCTTTACCTGGAGATGTCTCAGGTGAGATTCCGTTTAACGCACCCTTTCAGCGTCTCAGTAGGATGCTGTTACTCGTCCGAAGTAATGGCGAGGCTCTGTTCGACACATATTCACCTCAGTGGAAAATGTTATAATCCCATGGAACTCGGAAGAGCTTGTTGTCATGTCAGGATCATCCCGTCTCCATCAGAACATGAACAGAACTGGTTGGACTGTGTATCCAGCAGAACTCCAACAGAACTTTAGCTCTGACTAGACCAGGAAGTACTGACATTTTAAAGACTCTTTCCCGGTTCACTTTTGGGATTTGTTCATTGGTCAGAAACGACCAGACGGGGTGTGTTTTGTGACGTAAGAGGTTAGAGACAGCGAGAATTGTTATGAAACAGATCAGAAATGTTCTCACAGACAGAGAGAGTTTTGTTTTGGCGCGTTTCAGACACAGGTGCTAAAACTTCTCTATTTACGTCTGAGAGGATTCTAAAAAACATGACAGTTCGTTCAACAACTTGTTTTTCGTTTGACTCCAACCTTGGAAACGCACACTTGCTCACTCAAAGGCAGAAATCAGAAAAGGCATAATTACTCTGTTACAGCTTTGACATGAGAATAAAAATCATTACTCAGTTAATAAAATTGATTAGTTCACTGCAACATCTAAAATGGTTTGAACTAAGGCACTTTGATTATCAATATTTGTAAAATAGTAATGATAATAAAAAGAGAGTGTTCTTTTCACTTGAATCTTCAAGAAAGAAAGTCTCAGGATGGGTGAACCTGTATTTCTGAGTTCAAATGAATGAAATGACAGTTCCTGTCCCACAAGGTTCTTAAGGTCAAGATTTTGACCTTAGACTTAGTTTTTGACATGGGCCTAGTCCACTACACATTACATCTAGGCTTGATTACTGCAATTCACTCCTGCTTGGTATCAGTCAGACCTCCATTGCACGACTACAACTTGTCCAGAATGCAGCAGCCTGATTTTTAACCAGTACAGGCAAAAGAGAGCACATTACACCAGTTTTGACCTCACTGCACTGGCTACCGGTTCACCTTCGAATCCAGTTCAAAATACTCCTGTATGTCTACAAATCTCTGAACGGTTCCATAAAATGGTATGGTATGGTATAAATTGGGAAAGCAGTTACCTGCCACTGTCTGTCATTTACTCTGTGCCATTTATTTATTTATTTTTTTTCTTCATTAAATCCATTTCACTTGATGCAATAAGTTGTAGAGAGATTGTCGTGAATCTCTTCTGCTTAGGGACATGAGCCTTTTTCTGGTGCCATTAATAAACTTTGAATTCTGAACTCTTACCACAAAGATGATCTGTTTTTCAAATTTGAACTAACATTTTAAAATAACACTGAAACTTGAGGCATGGACCATAAGATCAGATGGTAATGGCCCAAAGCAGGAAATGAGCTTTACATACTAACATACAACTGAAGCACAAAATGATCCAGCCATTTATAATTTTTTAATGAATCTTAAAGATGCTGTGTCCTCTGAACGTCATGGAGCTGTTTATCATCTAAATAACATTCGATTAAACTAAACAACGGCACGTGTGTCTTTTCAGGGTATGAAGCAGACCATCCAGTGCCTTCAGGACCAGCTCAATCTACTGACCCTGCAGACTCGGCAGGACTTCACAGATCTGCACCTGGCCTCCCAAGATCTGGCATCTCCTGCTCTGAGCCTCGAGGAGAGTATCAGCAGGTGAGTCTTCAAACTTTTTTCAGTCTGATATCTGTAAAAACCATTTGATGACCATATCTAGTTAACATGGTGTTTTTCTGTCTTCAGCGGCTGCAGCTCAGTAGAGAATAACGTTTCAGCTCAGGCAGACCTCCTCTCCTCCACCTCCTCCTCCCTCGCCGCCTCTCTGCGTCTGACAGCTGACGATAGTGAACAAATCTTGGGGCAGATGAATGATTACTGCTCCAACCTTCACAGCTCTGTCTCTGGTACTAAGCATTTTTTAAATTATTCCTGTTTCTAACATGCATCTGCCACGTTAACTTGTGTGTTTCTGCAGGTCTGGTGGGGCGTGACCTCCAGTGGAGCCTCAAAGTCAATGAGCAGATCAACAGCCAAACTCAGAAGCATCTGTCCATGATGGATACTGTTTCTGCAGAAGTACAGGCCCTCGGTCAGGTACGAATGGCTGCAGAATTTTTGAGTGTTTATAAGTCGGAGTCTCTGTCAAGACAAAGTAAAAAAATGCAAAACAAGACAGTTGCATGTGGGTTTTAAGGGAAAAAATCTGCAAATTTTATCTCAAAATTCAATTTACATTAATTTTTGCAAGTTGCAAATGTCTGTTGTGTTTTGTTCATTTGGCTCCTTTATTGCTGCATGAAAAGTTATTGATATGGTTTTTTCCACACAAAACAAACTAAATTAAATTCAATGAAAAGATCATTTCTATTCATAAACACCTTGGACCTAATACCGCCCCCAGCATCTATGCTGAACTCCCCCCTCCATCCCTCCCCTTCTGACATGAATG